CAGTCTGGGCGACAGAGTGAGACTCCAACTCAAAAAAAAAAAAGTATGTTTTGTAGGAAATTGCCCATCTTCTAAAGTATGTGGTTCAATTTTCCATTTTCACCAGCGAGGAATGAGGAGTTCTACATCTTCCTTGTCATTTAGTATTTTCTGTGATTTGAAATTTATCTATTTCAATTAGTGTGTAGAGAGATATCGTTCAATTATGTTTCAGTTCACTAACACCATATAATGTTGAGCATCTTTTCATTTGATCTCTCTGAATCTAGTGATGTGCTTTTTCTGATCTTTTGTCTATTTTTAATTGGGCTATTTGTTTTATTGTTTAGTTTTAATAGTTATTTTGCCAGTTGTTTATAAATATTTTCCAAAGAATTTCTCCAAGTCTATGGCTTGTCTTTTTAGTCTCTTATTAACATGTTTCCCAGAGCAAGAGTTTTATTTTTAATGAAATCAAACTTGTAATTATCTAAAAAGTCATCATCAAACCCAAGATCACCTAGAATTTTTCCCTGTTATCTTCTAAAAGTTTTCTAGATTTCCATTTTACAATTACATTTTGATCCGGTTTGTGTTATTTTTTGCAAAAGGTATAAGGTGTATGTCTAGTTTAATTTTTATGTGGTTGTATGTTATTTTCAGCTCTATTTGTTGGAAAGAGTTATCTTTTTATCATTAAATTGCATTTGGTTCTTTATCAAAGAACAGTTAACTATATTTTTATGATTGTATAGGAAAGCAGTTGACTTTTGATTTTTGTTGCTTTTGTTTTGAGTCAGGGTCTCACTTTGTTGCCCAGGCTGGAGTGCAGTGGCACAATCACGGCTCACCACAACCTCAACCTCCTGGGCTCAGGTGACCTCTCAAGTAACTGGGACTACAGGCATGCCCCAACCCACCCTGCTAATTCTTTTTTTTTTTTTTTTTTTTAAGTTTATTTTGTGTTTTGTTTTGTTTTCTGTTTTTTTGTAGAGAGGAAGTCTTGCTATGTTGCCTAGGCTGATCTCAAACTCCTGGGCTCAAGCAGTCCTCCCACCTCAGCCTCCCAAAGTGCTGAGATTGCAGGACCTGGCAGCAATTGACTTTTACTAACCTTGTTATACTTCAACCTTGCTGTACTCTTAGAAGTGCTGGGATTTTTCTTTGTCGTTGTGGATGTTTTTAGATTTTCTGTATAGATAATGATGTCATATGCAACAAAGACAGTTCCATTTCTTTCTTCCTTATCTGTATAGTTTTTATTTCTTTTTCTTGTTGCACTAGCTAGGACTTCCAGAATAATATTAAACAGAAATAGTAAGAGGGGACTTTCTTGGCTTATTCCTTATGTTACCAGGAAAGCATCTAGCTTCTCATCATTCAGTATGATGTTAACTGAAGGTGTCTTGTAGCTGCTGTTTAGAGCTACAAGAGAAGTGAATAGAGAGGAAGTTTCTCTCTGTTCCTAGTTTGTTGTCATAAATAGGTGTTGGGCTTTGTCAGATGTCGATTTTTTTTACAAAAAAATGTCCTGCTTTTGTTTGTCATGTTAATAATTTTTGTTAGCCGGGCTCGGTGGCTCAGCCTGCAATCCCACACCTTTGGGAGGCTGAGGTGAGTGAATTGCCTGAGCCCGCGGGTTCGAGACCCGCCTGGGCAATTTGGCAAGACCTCATCTCTACAATAAATAAAAAAATCAACTGGGCGTGGTAGCGCATGCCTGTAATTCCAGCTACTTGGAAGGCTGAGGCGGAAGGATCGCCGGAGCCCAGCAGGTCGAGGCTGCGGTGGCCGGAAGCGGCCACTGCACTCCAGTCTGGGTGACAGAGTGAGACTCCAACTCAAAATAATAATAATAATTTTTGTTTTCTCTTTTTTTCTTTCTTTGAGTAGGCATTTGTCAATTTTCTTGTTCTTTTCACAAAACCAGCTTTTTGCTTACTTTTCTCTATTAATTTGCCATAATGTTCTTCATTTCTTCTCTTTGTTAATTATTGTCTTGTGCTTACTTCAGGCTCAGTTGATACTGCTTTTAGTTTTTCAATGTAGACTCAGATTATTGATTATAGATTTTTTTTTTGGTTGTATGTGTTCGGTAGTATAAATTTTCCTCTTAATCTTTTGGTGTATTCCACAAATGATTTCCAATTAATTCAATATGATTTTAAATATATCTTTAGGCTTCTTTGACCTCTGTGTCATTTAGAAGTGTGTCGTTTGATCTCCAAATATTTGTGAATTTTCAAGCTGTCTTTCTGCTAGTGATTCCTGGACTGTTACCATGACAGTCTGAGATCTTATACTATGTCTGTTCTTTCAGATTTGTTAAGGTGTGTTTTATGTTATGGAATGTAGGTTATCTTGGTGAATATTTCATGTGAACTTGAGAAGAATGTATATTCTGCTGTTGCTGGTTGAAGTATTCTGTTTTTCACTTAAATCCAGCTATGTAATGGTGTTCAGTTCAACAATATCCTTCCTGATTTTCTGCCTGTGGGAACTCCTAATACTTAGGGGTTCTGAAGTCTCCTACTATACTAATGGATCCATGTGTTTCTCCTTGCAGTTCTGTCAGTTTTGCCTCATTATTTTGCCATTTTGTTTTTATGTACATACACACAAAGCTTTCTTGGTGAATCGACCACCTTCATTATGTAATATCCCTCTATCACTGAGATTTTCATGCTGTGAAGTCAGCTTTGTCTGAAATTAATATAGCCACGTGTGCTTTCTTTTTGTTACCAAAAGCATGGTTTATCTTTCTTTCTTCTTTTATTTGTAATGTATTATGTTTGTGTATTTAAAGTGGTTTCCTTGTGACAGCATGTTTTATCTGCTATGATAGTATCTGTCTTCCATTGCTGTTGCTATGATTGTTGATTTAGTTGGGTTAATGTCTTTTTTATTTTTTACTGTTTTCTGTTTGTTCTTTCTTGCCATCTTTCATTCTTTTTCTACTTTCTCTACTTTTATTAAACATTTTACCCAATTCCATTTTTTTCCTCCCCTCTTAGCATATCAATTATAGTTTGCTTTTAACAGCTTTAGTGATTGATTTTGATTTTTTTTTTTTTTTGAATTGGAGTCTCACTCGGTCGCCCGGACTGGAGTGCAGTGGCCGCTCCCAGCCACTGCAGCCTCGCCTACTGGGCTCCGGTGATCCTTCCGCCTCAGCCTTCCGAGTAGCCGGAATTACAGGCATGCGCTACCACGCCCAGCTGATTTTTTGATTTATTGTAGAGATGATGTCTCGCTGCCCAGGCGGGTCTCAAACCCGTGGGCTCGGGCATGATTTTGATTTTTGTAGTGCACTTTTATAACTAACCCAAGCCTCTTCTGAATAACACAGTACTACTTTATTTGTCCTGCAAGCACTTGATGAAAAAGCATTCCCAATTCCTCCCTCCCTGTCCTTTGTAACATTGCTGTCATGTATAATTGCCAAATACATTATTGCTATTAGTATGTTAAACAAACTTACATCTCTCAGTTTAAGAATAAGAAAAACACTGCCAGTCATGGTGACTCAAGCCTGTAATCCCAGCACTTTGGGAGGCCAAAGCAAGAGGATTGCCTGAGCCCAGGGGTTCGAGACCAGCCTGGGCAACTTGGTGAGACTTCATCTTTATAATATATATATTTTTAAAAATTAGCTGGGTGTGGTATTGCGGGCCTGTAGTTCCAGCTATTTGGAAGACTGAGGCAAAAGGATCACCTGAGCCTAGCAGGTCGATGCTGGGGTGGCCATGAGCATGCCACTGCACTCCAGCCTGTGTGACAGTGAGACTCTGACTCAAAAAAAAAGAAAAACAATTTTTTTTAACATTTATTTCTTCTCTGGTGCTCTACTTTATCATTTTTTGTGAGAAATTTGTTCTGACAATTCTTTTTTTAATATTTCTTTTTTATTTTTATTTTAAAGATGTGGGTACAATTCAGGGTTAGGTATACAAACGTTGATTATGCAAGTATCCTTGTTGATGAGGTGTGCCCCTCCCTCCCCTAGCAGTTTCCTTCAACTGCCAACCCCCTCCCCAGCAGTTTCCCACTACTGCCAATTCTTTTCTTATAGTATTATGACAATTGTTCAAGGTCCGCTTATGAGCGAGAACATATGGTACTCTGTTCTTTGTTTCTGTGACAGATCACTGAGTATGCTCAACTATAAATCCATCCAAGTTGCTGCGAAGTTCATATGTTTGCCCTTCTTTATGGCTGCATAATATTCCTTTGTGTATATGTACCACATTTTTTTATCTAGTCCAACTTCGATGTGCAGCATGGTTGGTTCCATGTTTTTGCTATTGTGAATAGAGCTGCAACAAACATACTTGTGCAGGTTTTTTGTAGAATGATTTGAGTTCCTCCTGGTATATTCTCAGTAGAGAAATTGTGTCATATGGAAGGTCAATTTCTAGTTCTTTCAGAAATCGTCACACTGTCTTCCAAAGAGGTTACACTAGTTTGCATTCCCACCATCAGTGTAGAAGCTGTTCCTTTTTCTCTGCATTCTCACCAGCATCTGTTGTTTGTTTTATTAATGGCCATTCTTACTGGGGTGAGGTGGTATCTCAATGTGGTTTTGATTTGTATTTCTCTGATGATTAGTGAGGCTGAACACTTTTTCATGTGTCTGTTGGCTGCCCGTATATCTTCTTTTGAGAAGTGTCTATTCATGTCTTTTGCCCACTTTTTAATGGGGCTGTTTGTTTTTTTCCTTTCAGCGCGTTTGAGTTCCTTATAGATCCTAGATGTGAGGCCTTTGTCAGATTCACGGTTGGCAAATATTTTTTCCCATTCCGTGGGCTTTGTCTTGACAGTTCTTTTAAGGCAAGTGAACTGGTGACAAATTCCCTATTTTTTTATTTGTCTTAGAAAGCCTTTATTTCTCCTTCACTTTTGAAGGATATTTTTGCTCAATACAGAATTCTATGTAGGTAGTTGTTTTCCTCATTTTTAAAAGTATTTCACTTTAATCTCTTTATTGCCTGCATAGTTTCTGTAGAGTCTAGTTTAATTCTTCTACATGTTTATAGTTAAGGTATTGGTTTTTTCCTTGCTAACTTCCTGTAAGATTTTTCTTGGTCTTTTACTTTTCTCCAGTTTGACTATGATATGCCCAGGTATGGATGGATTTTGAGGTATTTGTGTTGCTTGCCATTCATTCTCTGAGATTCCTGAACATATGCTTTGGTGTCTATCATTAATTTTGGGAAGTCTGTCATTCTTGCTTCAGTTTTCTCTTCTGTGTCTTTCTCGTTCTGTAGTTACTATCATCATCTTATTTTCTAGCTTTTAAAAAAAATTATTTTTTTAGAGGCAGGTTCTCATTCTGTTATCCAGACTGGAATACAGTGGTGTGATCATAGCTCACTGTACCCTCGAATTCCTAGGCTCAAGTGATACTCTACCTCAACCTCCCAAGTACCTGGGACTATAGGCACATCGCTACACCTGACTAATAGATTTTTTTTTTTTTAATTTTTATAGAGATGGGATCTTGTTATGTTGTCCAGCCCACATCAGCTCCTGCCTGTATTCTTGAAGTCTCACACTAGCCCACTCCCAAACCTCAATAAAAATTCCCAGCCAAGTTCCTTTTTTGGCTATCTCAAGCCATTTCACAACTACTTGAGAGCCTACCCTGTTTTCCTCAAGATCTCAAGTGTGTGAGTAATAAGCCCTTTCATGAGTATAGGGATTTTGTGGAGGTCTAAGTTGCCATGCTTTCTTCTTCCTGACTGAGCCCTCACTTCCCAATACCTTCTTAAACCTGTGAAAAGGGACAGAGAGAAAAGGAGAAAATTGAACCTGTAATAAATATTGCACAAACAAGTTGAAACTAATGCTTCTGCAAAAGAATATTTTCATTCATTTAGCTGGATTTGATTGCTTGGAGTGGTCTGGAATCCTTCAGAACAACATAACTAGTGGCTTTTTGTTACAATTTGGCTTTCCACAGGTCTCCTGGCTTCTTATGCTGGTTGATAGGAATAGAAGAAAAAGCTTACAGTTCTTTCAAGTGTATTTCTTTATTAAAACCTTATCTGGATTTGATTCCATGTTTCATGAAATGCTGAGTATAAATATGATGTGTAGTAAGGTAGGCAATGAAAGTTTTTCTCACAGGGAGTTAATGGTCTTAAGATTTGTTTCATGTGTATAGCATTTCTCTTATTTCTCCAAGGTGATGTTGAGTCTGCCTTTAGAGAACAATCAGGCTTCAAATGATCACACCAAAAAAGTATATCAGTAATTTCTGTGTGTTCCAAGGCAGTGTGAAATTTATGAAGTTATGTGTATGGACAGAGGTTTCAAGTTCTAACAGCCAAGTCACACACTAAATGTTTAGAGACCACAGAATTGTGTGTGAACTTCTTATGAATTGAGTATGGATCTCCAGTACTGCCAGTCTCACCCATCCTTCTGTACACATATGCGGGATGTTTTAGGACTCAGTCTCCTTTGAGGATGTGGCTGTGAACTTTACACTGGAGGAGTGGGCTTTGCTGGATTCGTCACAGAAAAAACTCTACAGAGATGTGATGCAGGAAACCTTCCAGAACCTGAACTATATAGGTAAGGATGGCAATATTTCTCTACTTCGTTAAACAGAAAACAAGTATTTCTTGCTCAACAACTGTGTTCCACGATTTGAAATATGGAAAGGATATCCTTTGGTGATTAAATCAGAAAGATTCACAGCTAATTATGAACCTAGTATGTTACAATTTCCTATAATTTCTAATTATATTTTTGGATCTGCATTGTAGGGAAAAAGTGGAAAGACCAGGACGTTAAAGATGACCACAAAAACCACAGGCGGAATCTAAGGTGATTACATTCACCAGAGTAATCACTGGCCCATGAGAGAATTTCAGAAACAAGTAAAACAATAACCACAGCTTCAAATTAATTTATTCTTAGAAAATGTGCACCCAAGTGTTTTCTTAAAGATGTCATAGATGTTCAGGGTATGAAAAATAAATCACTTTGAAACAGTATTTAGAAAACCCTTCTATAAATATATCTGTTTTGATAATAGCTATGTTATTATCATGTCATATTAACTTCAAATATGTCAGACAGGGCAGATAGTCAACAATTTCTTTGAAAATAGTTAAAATGTAATTCTAATACCTACTAATAAATACAAAATCATTAATAAAGACCATTAATAATGTGCTACTCATTTTTTACAGAGGTCATATGGTTTACAGACTCTGTGAAAGTAAAAAAGGCAGTAAATGCAGAAAAACTACCAGTCAGATGCCAAATCCTAACATGAACAAGGAATCTACTGAAACAAAACCGTATGAATGCAGTATGTGTGGGAAGGACTTCACGTGTCATTCATCCCTTAATAAACACATGACATCTCACACTGGACAGAATCCAAATGAGTCTCAAGAATATGAAAAGAAACCAAATAAATGCAAAGAGTTTGAGAAAACCTTCAGTTATTGCCACTACTTTCAAAACCACAAAAGAACTCGCACTGGAGAGAAATCATATGAATGTAAGAGATGTGAGAAAACCTTTCAAGGACACAAACAAATGCATACTGGAGACAAATCTTCTGAATGTAAAGAATATAGGAAAACCTTTTGTTACCAAAATTCATTACAAATCCATAAAAAAACTCACACTGAAGAGAAACCCTATAAATGTAAGCAGTGTGGAAAAGCTTTTATATATTACCAACCTTTTCAGAGACATGAAACAACTCATATTAGAAAGAAACCCTATGAATGTAAGCAGTGTGGAAAAACCTTTATATATTATCAATCTTTTCAAAAACATGCTCATACTGGAGAGAAACCCTTTGAATGTAAACAGTGTGGAAAAGCCTTTATGTATTACCAATCTTTTCAAAGGCATGAAAGGACTCATACTGGAGAGAAACCCTTTGAATGTAAACAGTGTGGCAAGACCTTCAGTTGTCCCACATACTTTCAAAGTCATGAAAGAACTCACACTGGGGAAAAACCCTATAAATGTACAGAATGTAGTAAAGCCTTCAGTTTTCTCAGTTCTTTTCGAAGGCATAAAAAATCTCATAGTGGAGAGAAACCCTATGAATGTAAGAAATGTGGAAAAGCCTTCTGTTATTCTGAAAGCTTTCAAGCACACATAATAACACACACTGGAGCGCAACCTTATAAATGTAAAGAATGTGGGAAAGCCTTCAGTTCTTCTAATTCCTGTGGAATGCATGAAAAAACTCATATTGGAGAAAAACCCTATGAATGTAAACAATGTGGCAAATCATTCAGTTGGGCCATTTCCCTTCAAATGCATAAAAGAACTCATACTGGAGAGAAACCTTATGAATGTAAACTGTGTCATAAAGCTTTCAGTTTTTCAAGTTCCCTCCAAGAACATAAAGCAACTCACACTGGAGAGAAACCCTATGACTGTAAACAGTGTGGTAAAGCCTTCAGTTTTTCAAGTTCCCTTCAAAGACATGAAAAGACTCACAATGCAGAAAAGCCTTACAAATGTAAACAATGTGGTAAAGCCTTCAGGTGTTCAAGTTATTTTCGAGTTCATGAAAGATCTCATACTGGGGAGAAACTTTATGAGTGTAAACAATGTGGTAAAGTTTTCATTCGTTCCAGTTCCTTTAGACTACATGAAAGAACTCATACTGGAGAGAAACCCTATGAATGTAAACTATGTGGTAAAGCCTTCAGTTTTTCAAGTTCTCTTCGAGAACATGAAAAAATACACACTGGAGAGAAACCTTTTGAATGTAAACAATGTGGTAAAGCCTTCCTTCGTTCCGGTCAAGTTCGATTGCATGAAAGAACTCACACTGGAGAAAAACCTTATCAGTGTAAACAATGTAGTAAAGCCTTCATTTCTTCCAGTAAATTCCGAATGCATGAACGAACTCATACTGGAGAGAAGCCCTATCAATGTCAACAATGTGGTAAAGCCTTCAGATTTTCAAGTTCTGTTCGAATTCATGAAAGGTCTCACACTGGAGAGAAACCTTATGAATGTAAACAGTGTGGAAAAGCCTTCGTTTCTTCCAGTCACTTTCGTTTGCATGAAAGAACCCACACTGGAGAGAAAGCATAGACTGAAAACAATGTTGTAAAACTTTTAGTTCTGGTTATTCTGAAGGCATAAAATAACTAATGCTGGAGAGAAACTATCTACATATAGACATTGTTTTCAAGCCATCAATTGTTCCAGTTTCTTTTGAACACATGAAAGAACTCAAACTGGTGAGAAGTCATGTGTGTAAATATTGTGATTAAACTGTCAGTTAACCTAATCCATTTCAAAAACAGGACACCTGCTGCAGTGAACTCTCTGAAAGAAGGAAAGTCTTCAGCTCTCTTCTAGGGTATGAATGTATTAAAAGACTTAGAGAAGAGAGAAACCCTGTGCGTGAAGAAATGTAGAAAAGTCTTCACAAAAATCTTTCTAGCACATATGAGAATGTGTACTGGAAAGAAAACCCATAAACAATGTGGCAAATTCTTCATCCCAATTCCTTTTGATATAATAAAACCACTCACTGGAAAACAGTGTCTTAAATGTAAGCAGTGTGGGAACATCTTCAATTACGTGTGCAACCCTTCTTTCTACCATCTTAGGAAGAATTAAAAGACTGAAGAAAAATGCCTTGGCCCAAACAGACCTTTCTTGAAACCCAGTCTTAAGTTAAGAAACCCTTTAGGGCAGCACATACCCTTAGCTCACTGAACACATGACTAGATAGAATCGAGGGGGCTTCTAGAATATGTCTTCGAGCATCAGTGTCCACAGGTCAGATCTTTGAGAATTCTGTGGTTCTGAAGCAAAGGTGCACACTACTGCTTTTCCCACACAGGATCTGCATGTGGACACCCTGATTTCTGGACTTTAGCATCATGTCTTTCCAGGGTAGACTTGAGGTCATTTCTAGCGCCCAGTTTCCCATTTCAAACCTACACTGTGGATGTTTGCTGGTAAACATGCTTAAAAATTCATACTTGTCTCATACTGGAAAATTTATCTGTGACAGGCCTAGGTGGCTTTGGGGTGAGAAGGCTGAAGAAGCAGTGGCAGAACTTGAATCACAGGATACATGGCCCTTGATACCACAATATCCACAGTCCCATAATTATAGCTCTGCACCAACTACTATAATAATAGTCTCAAAACCTCTAGTGGAATTACAAAGACATGCCCTGCCATGTTTTAGCTGCAGGACACTCAAACTTTAATGCCCTCCTTAATTTGCCTATGCCAGGTTTTCTGGCACATTCCACTCTGAGATATTCAACAGTGTTTACACTGACTATGCCTTGGCCTTCTTGCCTCAATGCATGCCACATGCACACTGCTCCAGGACTGGGCTGGTAGCCTCTCCACCAAAGCCAAAACGTATATTTGGATCAGGGGTCACCCTGCAGAGCTCCGGCCCTGTGGTGTATGAGAAGTGCCCATATCAGAGACTCCATAGGCCATGGAGGCACCTTGCTTCACATCACTCCCAATAAAGTGTGTCCTGGCACCAGCAAAGATGTCCACCTGCTGAATAACACAGTCATGATAGGTGCTGGCCCTTCCTTTTTTAGAGGTAGTGCCCACTGTCCTCAGTAGGAAGTGTCCTGCAAGGGAAGTGGCAGTAGTGAGGGAAGCCAGGTCACCATCCTGTTATACAGTGACTTCTGGTCTTTCTCTGGGTTCCAGAAGTGATGCTTCTCTCACTTAGAGATCTGTAGTCTGAGTCTCCTTGGCCTCCATCTTCCCCCAATAGCTGATGTGTCAGGCAACAGCCTTGCAAGGCTTAAGTGAATATGGTGGACCACATGAGACTATTTGGAGCAAACTCTGCTGGCAGGTGACACCTCATCAGAAGTAATGGCCACTAAGGAGAGCACAGTGGAGGTCATGACCTCTGAGCCATGAGATACACACCTTTGCTGCCCTCACAGAGCTCTTAATGAAAAAGGGAGCTGACAGTCAAACCATGTGAGATATGTTTCTGGAATGATTTATAACAATTTAAGGGAACATAATTATTCAATCTATTTCAGGCCCTTTTGCATCCTTAGACCTTCATTCTGTGGTTTTATAGAAAAGCAATTTTGTACTCTGTGCTCTAGTGTGAAATTTTTTCCCCGTCAGGATGAGCCAAAGAGCTCAGAGTAAGAGTTTTGGGGATACCCCCTGCCACATGAGATGGGGTTGAGAATCCTTCACTCTTTGAAGACCAAGTGTATGTGGGCCTATGCTAAGATTTGTGTAAAACTTGTTTGTGTTTCTGTGTGAGTCCCCAGTAATCAGTAAAGTTTTAATCTCCTCTGTGTAACAGGTTCTCTAATTGGCACAATGGACAAAACTGTGCTAATAACCATATCTCCTTCAACGTGACATTCTAGAAAATAAAAAACAAGAAAACAACCAAAAATACTACAATATATTGTGGTGGTTACTCCTAAGGAAGCAGAGAGACCAGAAGAGGCATGCAGAAGTCCTGGGGTCTATGTGTCTCTGGGAACATCTATTAGTGTCTCTGTGCTACTATATTTGGGTTTGTGAGTTTATGTGTCTGTGTCTGGGTGTGTTCACCTGTATGAACAATGAAAGTGTTTGTGTTTTTGTAAGTTTGTCTGGGGAGCTATGTGTGCATGTATTTTTAAACCTGGAATACTTTCATGTTCTTGTCAGTTTTCCCTGGCAACACCTCCTTAACACATTGAATAAAACTGGTGACAGCAGACATCTTTGGTTTGTTTCTGATCTTAGATATAAAAAATCCAGTTTTTCATTATCAAAGTGATGCTGTGGGATTTTCATATATGGCTTTTAGCAGATTGAGGAATTTTGTCAAATGCTTTTCTGCATCAATTGAGATGATTGTCCCTTTTCTATCATTTTGATAATGTCGAGTATTACAGTGATCAATTTTCACATGTTGAACCATCCTTACATTCCAGGAATAAGTCTTACTTGGTTATATAATGCCTTTAATATGTTGCTCAGTGTGGTATGCTGGTGTTTATTGGAGAATTTCTACATCAACATTCATAACAAATATTAATGCTGTTTTCCTTGTTTTCTGAAATCATTTCAAACCTGCCTGCTTGAGAGGCCTACCAGGCTCTCTCTGAGACCTCAGCTGTATGAGTAATAAACCTTTTCATACTCTCTCTGTGTATGTGTCAAATAGCTATCCATATCAACATCAGAGCTATACCTTTCAGGTGACTGTGCAGTTGACACCAGAAGTAGATTATACAGATGTTGATGATAGCATAGGTCTGTCTTATCTGGGTTGGTAACCTGCTATGCTGCTTGATGGCCAGCATGCAGTTTGAACTGGTGCTTGCTGCTCTGTGCTGCACTGTTAAAACCCAACAGGCCTCGGTTCTAGATTGCACTGAGTCAAGTCAGCAGTTTGTATAATTTCTTGGCATTTGTGAGCAGGAGTATGGGATTGGGGCTCTCCTTAAAGTGGTCCTGGGTCATGTGTTTCGACTCGGACCTACCTAGTGTATTTTAGAATGAAGCTGTTATTGATGCAGTGTGTTGGCCTTGGTCTACAGGTCTAAAGGTAGGACTGGTGTTGAGATTTTATTCTATTGAAGTTGTGAGCCCTTCAGAAGGTCATTCCTGGAAGAGCAGTCATTTGAAGAGATGAAAGAAGGTGGGGAAGCTGCCATTTACATGGTGCCCTGAGGTCCACACTCACCAGGGCACTTTTGTACTTCTGCTGCTGCTGCTGTCCATGTCCATAACTTAGAAACAACCCTGATCCTCTAGGTTATCAGGGACAACCCCCACACCATCCTTGTAGCACAGCAAAGGTGTTAGTGTAAACCTAAATAAAGCCTGATGTCCTTAAGCCACGCAAAACTTCTATTGCCATACAGGAGTCCCTTAACTGATGATACTCATTTGAAGATCTCTGGAGGAAGAAATATACCACAGCAGAGAAAACCTAACCCTCCTCAAAGTATTACCAGTGACCAAACAACCAAACAGTGAAGGAAGGAAAAAAGCTTTTTGTTGTTTTCTTCCATCCTTCCAACAACAAAATGCTGAAATGAAAGTCTACAATTTGAACCATTTGGTAATTGAATATATACTAAAAAGAATTTGACACCTTTCTTTAAAGCACACACGCCTTAACAAACTAGGAGTAGAAGAAAAATACCTCAACAGAAGTTGTATATCAGGCATGACCAACTCACAGCCTCACGGGACAGCTAGTAATACAACCTCACAGAATCTTTTAACATCGTGCTTTTTAGCATTTATTTTCTTCATGACCTTATATGCATAGTTCCATTTTTGAAGTTCCAAAGCAATACTACACTTGAAATGAAACTTAAATTATGGAAAATAATTTAACATATTTTGTTTCATTGGCTAAATGCAGACCTGTGAACTGCCAAAAATATGCATGTTTGCTTTCTGTCTTAACACAGGAATTGAAAAACATTTCAAGATTTCTGGCAAAATAATCACTATTTTGCTATATTTGCTATCACATTTTCAGTTGACATTAATGTTTTACCTGCAAATTTACAAATGGAATGCAGAGTTGCAGTCAGACATTCATCTGAAAGAAAAATTTGACCATATCTTTTTATTGGGCTTTTATAAGACTTATCGTTCAGCCGGGCTCAGTGGCTCAGCCTGTAATCCCACGCTTTGGGAGGCTGAGGTGAGTGGATTGCCTGAGCCTGCAGGTTCGAGACCCGCCTGGGCAATTTGGCGAGACCTCATCTCTACAGTAAATCAAAAAATTAGCCTGGCGTGGTAGCGTGCTCCTGTAGTTCCGGCTACTCGGAAGGCTGAGGCGGAAGGATCGCCGGAGTCCAGCAGGTCGAGCCTGCGGTGGCTGGGAGCAGCCACTGCACTCCAGTCTGGGCGACAGAGTAAGACTCCAACTCAAAAAAAAAAAAAAAAGACCTATCTTTTGAGAGAAAAATAGCCCTTGCTTCACATCGTGCCTTAGTCATGACATCATTTTTTGGCAACATGTACATTTGTGAACAACTGTTATCAATTATGAAGCACATGAAGAACGAAACTTAAACATTTCTGACAAGCACCTTGAGAGCTCGCTAAGAATT